GTTGAGGGAAGGGTGTCCGTGGAGGGTGTCTTCCCCAAAGACACCCCCCCCCAAAGATAGGAGCTGGCTATGCTTCTGTGCATATGGAGAAAGCAGTGTCCAACATCTGTCACACCATTGCAAGGGACCGTTGCTCTTGAACAATACAGCACATCACTGGTACTCCTAACAGGGCTGCCACCCAAAGTGCTCATTCGAGGTGCTCATTCTGTTGCAACAGCTTGAAGATCAGGACCTAGGGAAGCGGGGGTGGGGTGGGGGTGGTGGAATACCTGTTTTTCGGACCTCGTGCTCAGCAAAAAAAGGCATCCAATCTGCATGGTTCCAAGTCGGATTCAATTACTCTTTGTTTCCCTTCAAACTCAGATGCCTCTGCTCTCTGAGCACCAGTTGGGCTAGAGATACAGCCTGGCGGTTCTCTTTGTTTTGTAGGGCGCAGTCTGCTGCGGTGTAACAATGGAGAGGAAGAAATGGATGGGGGCAGCTGCCACTGATATTGCTGTTCGAAAATGCACATTATTTTTTAAAAAAATCACATGCAACTGAAACAAACTTCAATTCGGCAACCTGAAATCTCTAAGTGAAAAAAGACGTCCCAATGTTAAGTTTTCTTTTCCAGGGAGGGCCTCCGTCTCTCAGCGCAGTGATTGCTTCCACATGGCATCCCCCCCTTTTAAACTGCTGTTTTGCAAGTAAGTGCCATGATGTCATGGCTCAAACTTTTCCATCGGCTGGAACCATTTATGGTGCCACCTTCCCCAAACTGAACAAGTAACTGAAGCTGATTCATGGAAATACTTTTTTTTAAAAACACCCCCCAAACAACCCTGAGGACATCAAAATTAAATAAAGTAGGGCTGCAAATATTTTGAAAGGGCCTTCTGAGAAAAGTATGAAGGCTTGGGGCCACTTCACACATGACGTTTTACCTAAATGGTGAGAAAGGGAAGGTATCGCATGACGAGGTTGGATGCGCATCTCATGTTGGGAGCTGTAATTGGGAGCAGATTCTCAGCGCTTGTACACCCAGAAACACAGATCTTCACACATGGTCAAATGTATCTTCCCTGTTGCATCTATACGCAAATACAGAGCTAAGATTCTGCCAGATTCTGATTGATTCAGATGGATCCCGTGCCTGTTTGGGAGATCATATAGAGCTGGCCTAAGTGACTAAATAAAGTATGGGCTTGTTGGCTAAACTTGGGCAGGTTATGATTTCCTAGCCTTAGTTCTGCTTCTGGCTCAGCTGACAGGATCCATCTCACTTGGTCTCTCTCTCCCACGCCCCACGCCCCCAGTCATACTTCCATGCTTAATCTATTTTTTTACTGCTGCCTCAACATTTTCACAGGAGTTTGTGCCCAGGACTTGAACGGAATATAGTGCAACAGTTCTGACTCCCCACCACCATCACCGCTGCACAAATTGCATACTAGTCTTGACAGAAAGTCACCTGTAGATGCAAAGAAAGTTCCTCAACGAAAACCCTCACTTATCCAATAAGGATTGTTCAGACAAATTTCTGTTGGCCTAAAGTTTTTTTGTGGACCAGAGTCCACTTTATTAGATGCATGGGGTATTACCTTGAGTCTGAAGTGGACTCTGATCCACTACACCACTGTGGTGTAGTGGTTAGAATGCTGGGTTAGGATCTGGGAGTCCAGGGTTCAAATCCTCAGACTGGCACAAGACCACTGGGTGACTTGGTCTGGCCTCACAGGGCTGTTGTGATAAAAATGGGGAGGGGGCGATCCTTATTGGAAAAGTGGGACACAAATGTAATAACTAGAAGCAATAGCAGCTCATACCATCTTTGAGATGCCACAAGACTCTCTGTTGTTGTTTTGCTGCAAGGGCTACCTCTCTGGAAGTTTTGAGTACATATCCTTTTGTTTAAAAAACCCCCCAGATGTCCCAAATTTCTGTGATGAGAGACATAAATCATGTAGCGCCTACAAGTTTTTAGTTTCCCAAACAGGACACTTTTTTCAGAATGTATACTGGGGGGGAAACCCTCAAATTGAAGAACCTGCCATTAAAAAATGAACAACTGTAATTTTCTGGGGAAAGGGTTGCTGACGGTTGAAGCTTTCCTCAGTTTTGTACGAAGACACAAGGGGATGATCTCCCAAATTCTCTTACTCAAAGATCACTGGAGATGAACAGGGAATGTGCAACAGCAGTTACTCTTCTCGTTTCCAGGGAGGGAAACTTTCAGCGGATGGTACTGAGGTGAAAGAAGCTGAACTCCTGGTTTGCTGACAAATGTGTAAAAGTAAAATAAGATTTCTGCATATTTGATCTTTGACTTTATAGGAATGTCTGTGACATAATAAACAGCAAAGAAATTGTTTATAAACTCACAGAATGATCTTCAGTTTTGCAAAAATCTTGAGGTAAGGGCAAGGGAAGTTATACAATATTAAGTGTATACAGTACTATACAATTCAACAGGCATCTTACATACAAAAATGATGGCCTTAGGACGTAGTCTTTTTTTTATTCAGAGTGCCATAAAAGTAGAAAAGATGTTAATTAAATGCATTTTACAGTGGCAGGTTTCTCTGCAGGTGCAGCAATTGTTCTGCATAGGTAACGTAGACCAATAATAGCTTTTGGGGAGATTTGGGAAAAAGAGATGACTGGATCTGGAGACTCAACTTTAGCTGCATCAATAAGACTTGGTGTTCAGAATACCTACCTACAGTTGTCAACTGACCTACCCCACTCTCACCCCCAGGTCTGTTCAGTTCTTGTGTCTTTTAACAACTGGATCCACAGAAGTTAGCAGGTGAGGCTTTTCACAGGATGGAGATAGAAAGATTGATATTATAACTACTGCTCTTAAAAGTGCAGCTACAAGGTTGGCAACCCAACATTGTACAAAGAACTGGCACCTCCTTGGTGCAGTTCTGTAGAAGCATCCCTGAAATCAACAGGAGGGAGTTATCCAAGAGCTCAGCTGAGCTCTGGAGCAATGCCTGTTTATTCCAGTGAGTCCTGAGGAGGTTCCTGGTAGCTTGTTACAACATATCCTTCAACTTCCAAGGACAGAATCATAACAATCAGGGGAGGATCAAGTATTAATACTCTTCAGAGTACAGTGGTACCTCTGGTTACAAAAGCTTCAGGTTACGATAAGGTTACCAGATTTTGTTCAATGACACTTTCAACTTCAATGGATTTTGTATGGGGACTGATTTGTAAATCCAGGGACTGTCCCTGGGAAACGGGGAGGTCTGGTAACCTTACATTATGAATTCTGCTAAGCTGGAAGTTGCTAACTTTGCCCCAGGATGAGAATGGAAATCGCGCACCAGAGGCGCACAAGCAGTGGGAGGCCCCATTAGCGAAAGCGCACCTCAGGATAAGAATGGTTTCAGCTTAAGAACGGACCTCCGGAACGAATTAAGTTCATAACCAGAGGTACCACTGTAGACTCATTGAAATTGATTGACATGACTAACTTAGGCTCATCAGTGAGTAGAATTTGGTTGGCTACAGCCCTGTCTACTGCACCAGAACACCTTTTTTCTGTGCATACTACAGAAAAGATGTAATTTTATATTTGTGACTTATCAGTACTTTTGTATTTTCTTCTGAATGGAATCTGCGTATCATAGGCAGTGTACATTTGTGCTACAAGCTGCAAAAGGTTAAACGGCTGCTTCCTCTCAGCAGGTAATCCTGGAATCTGTAGTTTTGGTAAGGGTGGCTAAGAGTTGTTAGCAAACCCCTATTCCCCTCAGAAAGTTACAGTTCCCAGAGTGGCTTAAACACCCATCCATCCATTTTCACAGGGAACTCCCAGAATTGTAGCTCTGAGAGGGGAATAGGGGTCTCCCTGCAACTCTCAGCACTCTTAACAAACCAAAGCTCCCATAATTATTTGGGGGAAGCCGTGATGGTTTAAAGTAGCTTCATACTGCTTTGATCATGTGGTTCGAATGTGTCCTATGAACAATGTCACTTGCTGTGCAATCCTAAGGCATATGGATGAGATGCCAAGGTGGTTCCACCACCTTATCCAATGCTCTGCCAGGTTCAAGCAGAAAAATGCTTCACATTGCTATTTTCCTCTTTCACCCTTCCTCCCATAAGTCAAGAGTGTGACTAAATAACTCTATAACCTTGTAGGACTGGGAAGGCTTTGGACTCAGCCACCCTCCTGTTGTCCTGCTGACACTGAAGCTCCTGTAACGTTTCCAAGGGTGTTGCAATTCCAATTACTTTTTTTAGTTAATCTGCCGGTGCAACGTCAATCCCGCCATTATAGAGCCCTGTGCAATCAGGATACGATCAATAGGATCACAGCTGTGGGATCCGCCTACTGTCTTTTAAACTAAGCCTGTGCAGGATATACAGTCCTCATGAGCCACAATCAGTGAATGGAAGTCAGGGGTGGGGCCAATGGGTGTGATTCTGCTTTCCTCACCCACATGTTGATTGCACATTCATTTGTCATGCTTCTGTCATCAGATCTGCAATGCTGAAATGCAATTTCTGCTGAGTGATGGAAAGCTAACATCCTCTGAACCTGGAGTCCCAAACAACATTAGTTTTTAAAACATTTATTATAATGCAGGAACAGAAAAGCTGTGCTCCCTTGCCAACTGTTTTTGGACTCCAACCCCATGAGCCCCAGCCAGTACCGCCAACATCAGGGATGCTGGGAGTTGAAGTCCAACAACATTTGGAGGTTACTAGGCTCCCCATCCTTTGGGTAACAACTCCTATCAACATTGCTGGATGGCTGGCATCTGAAGGGTACCAGATTGGTGAAGACTGCTGCAATGCATCACACAGAGAAATGAGCTCATGAGACAATCAGGCAGAAAAGGTGTTCTGTTTGTGTCCTATATATTCTCAAAGCAACAATAACATTGGGTTTTAAGTGAGGAAAGAAAGGTCATAGCAGCTGCATGGCCCATTTCCACTTTCTGGATGACCTCCAAACTTAAAATCTGAGATGAATGAAAGAACGCCACAACTTTAACTCAAGTTCCATGGCAGTGCCTGTTTAATGCTGAACAATCTTATTTAGGAACTTGCTTTGAGTCTCCATTTCCGTTTGTTTTGCTTTTTTTGCAAATGTTTTGCTGCAATTCAATCTCGTCAGTTGTGGGCAGACAAGGCAGCAAACTTCAAACCACTGCATTTATCTCAAAGGTGGGTTGTGCGGGACTGAAAAGAATTTGCAAAGAGTTCATTCAGCACCAGAAGAATACAAATTGGTCCCTGTTTGGGGTGGCTTCTGTACACAGACAACTGGAAGCGTCGTAGAAAAATAAGCCATTTGATACAATGCGCAAAGGCAACCACAGAAGGGTAACGGGGGTGGACAAATGGCGATGCAAAAGCCTGTCAGACAGGAAAGGACATGGGATTCATCGGGGGCAGGGGGGCGGGGAAGACACTTGGCACGATACCGTCTCCCTTTGGGCAGCTCCCTTGTCCTTGATCCCACCAAGGGAGGAGGAGAAGGTCCCCCAGAAAGTCGGATGGTGCACTCCTTCAATGGGCATATTTGATTTGCGTTAAATTGGTCCTTCTACCAAAGTCCAATCAAAGGCCAGTTCTTCACTGAAGCTTTGTCTCCATTCCGCACGCTTTCCTGCCGAGAGGACAATCCCACAAAACTTCACGACGCTGGGCATGCCGCCCAGCAGTTGACTAATAAAACAAATGAAATTATTATTATCATTATCATTATCATTTTGTATGCTGTCTTTTTGCTTCCAGATAAAGAGTTCATGGCTGGCAATGGTGACAGGTAGTTTCAGAGAGATACCACTCGGGCAACGTCGCCCAGGTTAATACTGTCTTGCAAATCCTTAGTGTTTCCACACGAGACTATTAAAAACACTTCTACGTTCACAAAGGAAGGGGGGAAGGGAGGTGTCTTTAGTCCAGGGGCTCTTGCTTTATCCTGATTGTGGTGTTGGGCTGCAGTCTCCTGTCCTCACGACATAGTACATATTCGCTGAACTGAGAGGAATCCACGCCTCCTCCGCAGGACGCCGCCACGTTGAAGCCCTTCTGGAACAACCGTTCAAGCACCTGAGGGGGAAAACACCAGTGAATGTTGGAGAAGGCTCCGTATCAAATGTGCTCATGACTCTGAAAGAACCAAAGGAATGCCACTGAACTGAAGTGAAAGTACGAGTCCTATATCCACCCGTGGGAGCCAGGACATGCAATGAGGTTAATGGGTGACAGTGCAAAGGTTACGCACAGTTACTTCTTTGCTGAAGTCTCTGCGCAGCCCCACATATAAGATTCCGCACGTGTCAACTAGGGATGCATTTCAGGCATGGGGAATATTGCATTAGTTTTCCTGTTTAATATGCTAGTGCTTCTGTCCTGTGGTCCTTTCACACCTGGTGTGTTTTGAAATTGTGAATTGTGTTATGATTATTTTTTTACCGATACACCAGCAGGTTGAGCTAAATTTCATTCACACCAGTGGGCGTGGGGGGGGGCACAAGAGCAAACCACATTGGACAATGTCGCTGCTCCCCCAACCCTTTCCACACAGATGTGTGCTTCTCTTCCCCCCATTAAAGCAGTAGGAAGAAAAACTGTATGCCGCTAATTGGCCCTAAATTTCATCACTTTACTCCCATGATATTCTGGGTTAAAGGGGCTCCAAGCATATAATTTTTTTAAAGGAATCAAGTAACATGGAAATGAGTGCTAAGCTTGTATTGCTGTGTGAAAGTGCAAATATAATTCAGAAATTAACGGTTAGGGAAACGGTGAGGAAACGGTATAAACTGCCATGTGAATGCAGCCTTAGACGGGGCACCAGGTTGGCAAAGCCTGCTTTAGAGAGCTAGTGACAATCAATATTAAATACGATGGACCAGCAGTCAGACTCAGGGTAAGGATCAAAGCAGAGATGACATAAGGGTGATAAAACGAACGTTCTGGCTCTTTTTCTTTCCCCAAAACCAGCAGCCTTGGGTGGGGGATTAGATCAGGGGTGCAGCATGTCCAAAAAGGGGGTTTCTTGCTGCACTGTGGCCCTGATCAAAATTGCCCTGGGTGCTCCCTCTAGATGAGATGGGGCAGTTCACACATTGAAGAGAAGAAGCCTGTGGCTAATAGCAGTTTTGGGGAAGGGGTGAGTTAACTTGGATGCAACACTCTGCACAGCTGCTTTTTGAAAGCTCCATGTTTGGAGCTTCCACATCACATCTAATTTCACCCTTAGGAAAGCCCCACATTATACAGTAAAGTTGTCACTGGAGTAAAATGTTAGACAAAGGCGATTTGTAGCTCAACTTTCCCCCTGTGGCTAAAGGTTTGTATTATTACCTAACTTTGAAGAAATTACCTGAATTTCTTCCAAATGCTGTCACTGGCTACAGACTCACAATCTAAGAGACTCGACACAAAAGGAAATAGGAATGGGGTGGGAGGAGGAAAGCAGTCTTGGAGCTCCACTAGCTAATGGGTGGGGCCAGGTTGGTCTCCCCATGGCCTTCTATGCACAATGTTTCCTTGTCCAGCCAGACGACAACCCTGTGAAACAGGCTAACTTTAGGAGGAAAGTGATGCTCAGGGATGGAGTCTGACTTATAAATTGCTATCCATTTTGTCCACAGCTGAAGACGCACTTGAGCTCATGCCTTCTGTATCCAGCCCTACTCACTGGCTTTCCTTTTTCAAAGCCATCTCAGCTTCCTGCAGATGGACGCTATCTGGACTATTTCATTTGTGCGTGTTGCCCTGCAAAGTATTTTGGTCTCGTGGTCCAGAGGTGGTGAAAAGGGCCCCCGAGAGCCAGCTAGACTCTGCATGATACATTTCTGGTCTTTTCAGGATCTCCCAGCATATTATGCAGCGATAATTCTATAACTTATTCCTAAATGACTGCAGCGTGATTAAAGTCTTGCTTACAGCAAACCTCTGCAGAAAAACCCAAATATTAATCAAACAAACAAGCACTCTGCAGGGCAGTTCAGTACATTATGGAGTAAAATACTGGCTGGTAGTGATATTGATGCTACCTCTTAAGGAAAAGCAACGTTGGGGCTTCAGTCATCATAAAATGAGGCCATAACTCATCATTAATATGCTGTGCTAGATGGGGGGAGAAAAAGCAGCAGGCTGTTATGAGCATCTTCTTTACTGGTGTAACCATTCTGGCCGCTAAGGGATTTTCCTACCAAACAGGTTGGGGTATTCAGGGTGTATGTGTGCTGTTAATGTGCCTGTGTTTATATTCCTGCCTGTGCCCTCCAGGCACCTAAAGTAAGTCCTCACTGCTAATGGCTGCTCAGCACTCCACCTCTGGGATGCCACCTGGTTTGTGATATCAACCTGAGCTTTGAAGGGGTTCAAGGACACCTCCATGGCCCAGCAGAACTGCAAGCTCCTACTTGGCTCCAAACTGGGTGTTTCCCCCGTGCATCCATGAGAAGAGCCTGCTGGATCAGGCCAAAGGCCCATCTAGTTTAGCATCCTGTTCTTACAGTGGCCAACTAGGTGCCCCATTGGGAATCCCACAATCAGAGCCCCAGCACAAGAGCCCTCTACCCTCTTGTGGTCCCCAGTAACTGGTATTCAAAAACATTTCTGCCTCCGACCGTGAAGATAGCAGTAGATATCAATTGTGGCTAGTAGATATCAATAGCCCTCTCCTCCATGGATTCATCTAACCCTCTTTTGGTGGCCATTGCTCCCTCCAGTGGGTCCCATCGTTAAACTATGTGCTGAATGAAGAAATATAATACAAAGCGCAAATGTCACTGTTTCAAAGGACAGCCAAGCAAGATGAACATTCTCTGACAATAAAATGCTACAACAGGCATATAAATAAATGCTTGGTTCAACAACTTAAGAACAAACGAGGCAATTCAGTTACTCCAGAATACAAAATTCATAAGCAACGTAGCGACACACGACAAGGGGATTATCAAGTAATACAAGCTGTTGTTGTGTCAAAAGCGATACACCTCATTCCATGCCTCCCCAACTCTGCCCTGGCTGCCAATATACTAAAGCAGGAAGGCTGGGAACCTTTTTGCACTTGAGGGCTGGGCAATGAAAATACATGTCCCTTAGTAGAGCAGGCTAGCTTTTGTACGCACTGGCATGCCTCTCTATCTTCCATCCAGGGGAGGACGGGCAAGGAAGCCGTAGGCTCCCAGCTGGTGTAAGGTTAGTGACTGCAAGTTTCCATCAGGCATCTGGCTGACTGCTGAGAGAACAGGGTGCTGGATTAGATTGGCCATTGGCCTGATCCAGTAGGACTCTTCTTAAATTCATAGGTTCAGTGCTCTCCCCAGAATCCTAGAGCTACCGAATCCCCTTACAGAGCACAGATTATATGGTTTGCCTGAGGTGATTATAAATATTTTGGTGAACTCCTCCATCCTTTCTGTTCTCCCTCCTGCTTTCAATTCCAAAGTCTCTTTTTCACTTTCTTTTGGTAGGCAACAGGCCTCCTTTCTGCCAGCCACTTGGGCTTCCCAAGTCATGCAAGGCAAAGCTGAGCTTTGATCTCTTCTCATGGCTTCTCTTGAACCCTGCGAGCATTGACTGGCCCTGGGACAGACTGGCCCTGCCTCATTCCCCCGACTTCTGCCCTGATCTTGTATCACTTTGCAATGCAAGAATGTGAAAGGACCCGAGGGAGAACGAGCAAAAGGCCTAGAGAGAAAAAATACCCCTTTTTTTGGTAAAGTTTAAAAAAATGAAAGGAGGGGTGGGGAGAAGAGATAACAGTGCACCTGCTTAAAGCACCTGGAATGACCATCGCACAGTTTTGGAGAAAATTAGATGTGGCCCACCTTACCACTTGGTACATGCTGGAAAAACTAACTAATAAGCTGAGAGTCCTTAGATGTGAAAGAAAGAAGAATGATTCCGTACTTGTTTGGTCTGATTTTATTTCATTTGTAAGCAAGAAGGAACATGGTTGAGGACCTCCCCCAACTGCACCTTGGCCTATGAATGAATATGGCTGATTCAGCAACTCAGGGCATTTGAATACTTTAATTCATGTTTTGTGACCACAGACAGGCAGATATGCTTCTGAATACTAGCTGCTGCAAACCACAGGAGTGGACAGTGCTCTTCTGATTGGGTCCTGCTTGTGGGTTTCCCAGAAGAAGTATCTGGTTGGGCAATGTGAGAACAGGATGCTCTCTGCAGGGGCCATTTGGCTGATCCAGCAGCCTCTTCTTATGTGCCCTTCCCTTGCCACACTTTTAGGCTGCAAGCAACCCAGAGCACGCTTCCCCTTGACGCATGTTTCACTGAAATCAATGGGAGCAATTTCCAAGTTCACAGTGTTCAGAACTGAGACGTCTCCCGTTGTTTCTCTGGGGCTAAACATCTCCAATTCTGCCAGTCTTCCCTCCCGGAAACTGCCTTCAAGACAGATCCCTTTAGAATCATTCTCATAGCTCTCCTCTCCCAATTTGTTCAAAGCCTTCTTGAAGTGTGCTGCTACCCAGAAGGAAACACTCTAAAAGAGATCGTCTCTGTGGCGAGCTGAGCATGATTTCCCAAGTTTTGGAAACAGAACATCTCTTGTCATAAACTGGGGGAGGCCTTGGCCTTTTAAACCACAGTGTTATATGGCTGAATTTGCTATCGATGTAACAATGCTTACGGTCATTATGTTTTTGCAAGGAAAAATGGCATTTCTGGTATCTGTGATTTTAACAGAAAACCTACAATGGGAGGGATGCATGTTGCACCAAAAAAGAAAAAGGGTCCTTTCCAGCCATTAACATTAGCAATGTTCAGGACAATAAGTCATGAATTAGCAACAAAAATGTGAAGCCCTGACCCCATAATTCTTAAGAGCCAGTGTAGTATAGTGGTGGGAATGTCAGACTAGGACCTGGGATTCAAATTCCTACTCGGTCACCGGATGATTTTGGACCAGTCACTGCCTCTCAGCATAGCTCACCTCACAGTGTTGTTGTGCAGATTAAATGAGGAGAGCAAGAATTGTGTACGTCACCTTGAGCTCCTTGGAGAAAGAAGTGGAATATAAAACCCTATAGGTTAAGTCTTTTCTAGCATGGAAATACAATTTCTCTGGTTTTGTGTTATGTCATGTCCCCCACGGCAGCCATTTTGTGACTGGCGTCTACAGCACTCTTTCAAAATGTCCCCCCGGTCTAAAACATGGACCGACCTTTGCTGCGGTAAGTTTACCTCATCAGCCTTGTTGGTTTTATTTACTTAAAAGCACTTCTATTTTTTGTTATAAAAAAATGTAAAAATAGGAATTCACAAATAACAAGGTTGAATCTCATTGGCCAGGGAAAGTCTGTGCCAAGACATATGTCTTCACATGATGTGGGACGCAACTGATGGACGCTGCCTCCATCAGAAGGAAGGACATCCCACAGGGAAGGGCAAATGGCAGAAAACGCCTTCTTTCTAGTTCTCTGCCCTGCAATGTTCTGTAAGGTGTGCCTGCCACTTTGCCACTGAAAATAGTCTTTGAAATGCATCACGGGATAATGTAACATATATCCTGAATTATTTTTCAGCTAAAATGGACAACAAGCTCGCAAGCACCCGCTTCTGCGACACCACAATTTGCAACACCTGATGTTTGCAGCAGACAAAATTTGCAGGTGTCGTCGAGAAAGAGTCTATACATAGCAGAGGGTGTTGTGCGTCTTCATTAAACAGAACAGCACGAACTCCATCCTCTGTTCTCGTTCAAGAGCCGTGCATTTTAAAAAGGTCGTCCAGGGCTTAACGATTCCATTTTCTGAGAAAGCATTTGTGACTAGGATGTGGGGCGAGTCCTCTCTCTCCAGTTATGAATTCAAGCCTGTCTGGTTACCGCCCGCCCCCCCCCAAATTAAAAATCGTAAAATGGAATTCAGAATTAAGCAAGTATCCAGATGCAGAATGTGGACCTTCAAAATTCTAAGCCAGCCTTTGCCAACACCTGGCACCTTCCAGATGTTTTCGACAGCAACTTCTGCCAGCCAAATTGCAACCCGAAACATCTGGAGGGCACTGTGTGGGCAAAGGCTGTCCTGAACCTCGAGGACAGATTGCTGTCACAATTTCAAATCCCCTGCCTAACCATCAAAATAGGAGTGAATATCAGCAAGCCAGAGATTAACACTGAAGACTCTGTCACTATGGAGGGCTGGGATGTTTGTTAACCTGAAATGAATTACCATTTAGAGTTAGATGGGGCAGGGAACAACCCCGGGGTATAAAACAAGAAGCTCTGCCCTACAACTTGTTGAAGAGAGACCTCACTATCATGGTCTAGCCCAAGAGGTTGCCAACCTTTTTGGGCATGTGGGTACAGGTGTAAGCTGGAGAAGCTGTTGTGGGCACCATCCCCACCCACCTATTCTATTGGCTGCAATAAAACACTTCTTTCAAAGGTGTTTTCTGGGGGGGGGGCCTATGGGTGCCAGTGAAGGCTTCTGTGGGTGCCATGTTGGCAATCCCTGCTCTTGCATAAAGGATAACAGACTGGAGAAACGATGTGCCTTGTTTGGGTTGACAAAACCACAATGTTTTTTATTTTATTTTATTTTTTAAAGGCCATAAGCCAGCTTTTTGAACTGCACACTGCTCTTCACCTGGGCCAGTTATTTAGAGCAATAAAATCCCAACCACCCAAAGTGTCACAGTGACATGTTGTGCAACTGACTTCACTTGGTTTCTCGCTGTAGCCTGAAGCCCATTTGCCCAAAACATCCTCTGCCAATGGAGGCCTTTCCACGCTCACTCCCCCCTGCCCGTGCCCCCTGCCAAACATCCAGAGACAGGCAGCTGGATGCTCAACTCTCCCAATGAAAATGCCCTCATTGCTCTGGTCCTCGCTAATGAGTGTCAAACCATGAAGGCTGCTCAGTGCCAAGGTCTGCTGTAGGGTAGCCCTCCCATGGGCAAGCTCCCCTATTTGGGGCGGAGGGGGGAGAAAGCTGCTCAAAGGGGTTTGCCAAATCACAAACTTACATTTCCCGCACCCCACCTATCCGTCTTTCCTTGTTTCATATGTTAATTTTAAAATCTTAAATAAAAAATAAAAAGAAATAAAAGGGGGAAAAAATAACTAACTCAATCAAACCCCCATAAAAACCTTTGAGTATAAAGTGGAACACATTTTGTTTAAAATACTCTGGGCAATTTTTATAGAACATCCTCTTGGAGGGGAAAAAAAGTGCAGAGATCATTTTTTTAAGTCCATCCCGGAGGCTCTATCATTTAATTATGAGTGGGACATAAATTATGCATTTACACATTGTTGCGTTTTCTATAAAGTGGCATGGAGAAGCGGCTCCCCCTCCTTCCTTTCCTCCTTTCCCCTCTTCTTCTTCTTTTTTGTAGTTTTGGTACACTCTTTTTTCTTCCTAGGGGCACTTTGGAGGGAAGAAAGGACTACGGGGTATGAGCTGATGAAAAAAAATTAGCATTTGTCAGCCTAACGCCATTATGAGATCAGCATGGTGCTAACACACACAAAAATCTAAATCTCTCTTTCTCTCCCCCACCAACAACTTAGACTTAAGGGAAAAGGGAAAGGGAGAGAGAGGAAAAACGCCCATGATCTCACCAGGCAAAAAATGCCTCCTTCTTCCAGTGACACAGAGGCAATTGGGCAGAAGGGACTCATCTGCTTAGTACTGAACGTGAAAAGAAAATGATAGAATGGATGAGGCCCATTACCTGCACCGAATTCAACCGACAGTATCCGTTCAAAGGAAACCTAATGACGTGGGTGGGGTCTTGGTTCCAGCCTGCATTGACCGAGTTGCACATGACGTCCCCTGTCTCTGGGAAGATCTCCTCGATCAATGCCTTCTCTCCGCTCAGTGCAATCCTTTCCCCGAGATCCGGAGTGACCCTTACAACCAAGCAGTCACAGGGCTGGAAGTGCTTCCTTTGTTCCTTCTCCTGTTTCCATCGCTCCAGCTCCTTGATCATCGGCTGCAGCTGGTAGTACTTGGCCTCTTCGTATAAAAGATTAAAATCCTTTTAAAAAAGGAGAGAAAGAGAGCTTACTATCTCAGCACTTATGGATTTCATATATCTAAATCCAAATCTATATCTATACAGTTGTACCTTAGAAGTCGAACGGAATCCGTTCCAGAAGTCTGTTCGACTTCCAAAACGTTCAAAAACTAAATCATGGCTTCTGATTGGCTGCAGGAAGCTCCTGCAGCCAATCAGAAGCTGCGGAAGCCCCATCGGACGTTCGGCTTCCAAAATAATGTTCGCAAACCGGAACACTCACTTCCGGGTTTCTGCGTTTGGGAGCCAAAACGTGTGAGTACCAGGGTGTTCAGGATCCAAGGTACAGCTGTATCTATATCTATACACATGGGTAGGCAAACTAAGGCCCGGGGGCCAGATCCGCCGCAATCGCCTTCTAAATCCAGCCCACGGACAATCAGCATGTTTTTACATGAGTAGAATGTGTCCTTTTATTTAAAATGCATCTCTGGGTTATTTGTGGGGCATAGGAATTCGTTCATTCCCCACCACCCAAAAAATATAGTCCGGCCCCCCACAAGGTCTGAGGGACAGTGGACCTGCCCCCTGCTGAAAAAGTTTGCTGACCCTGTCTATACACATAATCTGTCTGTGAAGAGGAAATATGCATGTAATCTCCAAAGGGCTTTGGGGAATGTGCATATCTCAACTGAATTTTGTACATTTTCTGGTCAATGTGCAGTCTCCAAAAAAAAAAAAAAAAAAAAAAAAGAAGCATTGCCTCCATCTCTAGTTCAGAACTGTGCAATCTGAATCCTGCAGGCTGCTTCTGTCCACTTCCTGATCTTACGGGTATCACAATACCCCCTTCACAGATCAGCCAAGCAGTGAGAAGAAGGGGCGGTTTTTCCAGAAATGTTATTTTCTGGCAGTCCAGCCTTTTCCCACCACTCTCAATTGTTCCTCAGTCATCTGAGCAGCACAAGGGGGGCTGCAGGGAGAAGAAAAATGTGACCCGTCCCATCCTACAAACCTGACAGAAACGACCCCCCTCCACCATGCTGCTATTAAACTGAGGTAAAAGCTCAATCACAGCATGGAATCCGTCATCATGGGGATTTTAGTGGAAGAAAAGTTCACCAGGAAGGGTTACCCACACAGGAAAAAGTGCTGGGAAATGCATCGTTTCCACCAGGGAGGAGCTGCCTCCTTCTTGTGCTCCAAGGGAAGTACCTGGGCCTTGAGGTGGAGGAGAGGATTGAGGTAAGCACAGCCCTGCTTGAAACAGCCTGCCTGAAGGCTATCCTTGCCCCAGCCCTTTCTGTAACCATTTGAGCTGGATGGTGCCCCTGCTTGAATGCACACCGCAGCTCTGAAAACCATGGAAATGGGAGGACCTTAAGGGACCACTGTACCCGTAGCAGAAATAACAGTGCTTAATAAAGACTATTCCAATGCAACACACTGGATGTCTGAAGCCAAGGAGCTGGCTGCTCAGTTCAAGTCAACATATGGAATTCAAGATCTAGACTCCAAACCCAGCCACCCTAAGCCCCCTTAGTTCCCCCTTGCCTGCCTGCATCTTTCCTGGCAACAACACACAGCTCCCTAATAGTCTCCTGTTCAATTTGCACCTTGGCTTCTCCTTTCAAAAACTCTTAAGTTTCCACAATCTCTTGTGTCCTCAGGCCCCTTCCTAAATTGTCCCACTCTCCTGAGCCACCCTTTCTCTTGACCAACTTCCCCAGCACTCCTCTCTCCTTCCCTCAACAACATACACACCCCTCTCCTGACCATAAGTACTTCCTTGGCTCTGAGTGCCATCCTTTCAATTCCTTGGGTCCCAGGGGAACCTCTTTTCAGTTCTTTTCATAGTAAAATATTTCAATCCCAACCAAACTGGCAACTCTCCTTTCCTCACAGAAGATGGACAGCAATCATTCCCTGGACAACTGACGATTTCACGTCACAGTCTTCACGGCTACAAGCACAATTCAATACAGTTTCTCTCATGATCTTTTTACAATCCCCCTAAGGGAAGGTGCTACTATGCCCTGAATGTTGGGGGCTGAGGCTGGGGGAAAGGGAAGCTGCTGAAAGGAGGTTCATTGTAGAGGTGTGATTTGAAACTTCCTGGTTCTTAGCTGTGTGTGTTTTGGTTACTATGCTAAATGAGCTCTCATGGAAAAAGAACACTCATCCGCCCATGGAAATCTGGCAAGCAAGCTGACTGCAAAAAAAGCCATCCTTTGGAATTCCCCACTACAGGACAGTGTTCAGGCAAAGCATTTCACAATGTTCCTCAAATACTTGGCAGCCAGCCCTACGGCACGACAAGAACTTGAATGAAGCTTGACTTAACCACACCCACAGAGTACAGGAAGTCTCATCTTAATATCTACAATGATAAGAGTCAGTTGCAAAGCCAAAGATATCACTGGGGCTCACTGGGCCTTCTTTTAACCCCTCCAGAAGTTTTGGACTGCAACTCTTATCATTAGTCCAATGTAGCATCTGACTTCCTTTTGAGTGTGTTGAGAGAAGCCTGCTTTAAGTTAGCAGAAGCCTGTCTTAAAACTTGGCTTTTCCTTCATTCTCTGGGGTAAAGAAAAATGTGCAAATTATTTCTGGTGGCTTTTCTTTTTGCATCAGATATATTACATTCTGGGGTCCTGTTAAGACCCTGCCAATCTTAGGGTCCTGGTAGAAAATGAGAAGGAAGGAAGGTTCTGCACTTAGGCAGGAAGAACCAGCTGCACAAATATAAGATGGGAGACACCTGGCTTACTAGTAGTACAGGTGAAAGGATCTAGGGGTCTTGGTGGATCACCAGCTTAACATGAGTCAACAGTGTGATGCAGAAGCAAAAAATGCTAATGCTATTCTAGGCTGCATCAACAGAAGTATAGTGTCCAGATCAAGGGAATCCAAAGCACTACTCTATTCTGCCTTGGTCAGACCATACATGGAATACTGTGTCCTGTTCTGGATTATCACAATTTAATAAGGATATTGACAAGCTGGAAAATCAGAGGATGGCAACCAAGATAATCAAGGGTCTGGAAACCAAGCCTAATGAGGAGTGGTTGAAGGAGCTGGGTATGTTTTGTCTGGAAAAGAGGAGACTGAGAAGAGATATGACAGCCATGGAAGATGGAGGAAGCTTGTTTTCTCCTGCTCTGGAGGGCAGGACTCGAACCAATGACAAGAAAGGAGATATCAACTAAACATCAGGAAGAACTTTCTGATAGTAAGAGATTTTGACAGTGGAACAGTGTCCCTCAGGAGGCTGTGGACTCTCCTTCACTGGAGGTTTTAAAGCAGGTTGACTGGCCATCTGTCATGGAAGCTTTAGGTGAGATTCCAGCATTGCAGGGGGTTGGACCTTGGGGTCCCTTCCAACTCTACAATTCTATGACTTCCTCATTTTGATCTTTTTCAACATTCCTTTTGAGAACATATATATATATGACGCTTTCCTTGAAGGTGGTGTTTCTTGGTTGAATAGTTTGCCAATTCATGCCCACCCCCACAAACCCCTTCAGTATACCTTCAAAAGTTTTCACCTACTGATCGCGCAAAAGAGTTGCAGCCTCTCCCAGTAATGCAAAGTTTTCAAAGCTGCTCCCAATTTGTTTCTGGCCCCTCTTCAAAGAACATGCTTTGACCCACAGAGACCTTGGTTCCTGAAGGATTCCCTTTCTCCATATGTACCTAGCTGCAGCTTACAGTCCTTTGAGCAGACCCTTCTTCAAATGCCCCATTAATCTGAGGTTTGAAGGGTGGTGAGGCCTGGAACTTTACACCCTCCCTTGAGGAGCCCCACATGCCCTAGTGATGGGCCCATTGAGGCCTAATGCCACACCCACTGTTCAGAAAAGGAGCCGGATGCCTGATTATCACACCAGTGACTTTTAATTTTCACCCAAGAGAAGGGCCTTTTGTCCATGTTGACAGGGCAGCACCCAAGACAGCCTTGAAAGGCAGGTGTGAGATTTTGTTCCCAGCCTTGCTGCGCCCGGGAGTTTGCTAACACCCCTGCTAATCTGATGCTGCTCATCTGATACACGGATGATTTCACTCCCACTTTGTACTGATGACTTAGGGCAGAAAATGACAGACTCCAGCCTGGAAAAGTGCTGACATGGAAAGAAATGGCAAGGAATCCTGAAGCACCTTCTTTGCAGCTCCCTGCAAGGGGCAAATGGCAACCCACAGACTCCGTCGACTAACAGAGTCCAAGTGGCTGAGATGTGTTCAGTGGCTGCTAACATTAACAATGTTCAGGAGCCTGCATACGAAGCACACATTCACAGAGGCCTCTGCTTGGCTGTAGTAGCTCTATCAGCTGCTACAGGCATCCGTAGCCCCTCCATTCCAGCCTTCTCAGCAGTACCAATGGTGCTCCACTGAATATGGCTCTTGGCTGAGAGATGTTCTTGCTTTACGCCTTCCTGTGTTTAGCATGAAGGTCTGTGCAGGGTCTCTTAGTGCAGCTAAGGAACCCTGCAAAGATATTCCTTCACACTCAACAGGCACAAGTATCAAGCCACCTGGAGACCTTGGCTGCCACCTCCCCCTGCCCCAAATTTAAGCCCTCTCATGTACAGATGAAAACCTGAATGGATCTTGTGTAAGAAACAGATGCCCAGGCTTGCTCCATCAGTTACACTAAAAATGACTGAATCCTGAATACAAGAGGGTGGCCAGGCAGATTTGGCCACTGTAATATGCAGACAGCCACCAGTCCTTAGTGTGGGCTATGGGACTCCTGTGGCTCTAGGTTGCTCTTGGGATTGGGCTACCTGCCCAGAGACATCCCTGTTCAGGAGGCTAAGAAAAACAGCTGCTTTGAGCAACATATAATGGGGGCTACTAAGGGTGGCCCAATTGGGCTGGATGCACCAGTATGTTCTCTGAAATGAATGGAAGCCCCACAAGAGTATGGCAGCCCCATATTCATTTGTCTTGGACTCCTAGGATGTCCATGTGTGAGGGCAAATGTACCTGGAGGCATCATGCAATCTCTACAGGGAAGCTGTTCTGTGGGCGTTTGTAGGTCCGGGACAGACCTTCTTCTTCAGAGTAGACATTATCAATTGGGGGGGGGGGATCAGCCTGGATGAAATCCTGGGTCCCTGCCAAACCTGCAATCCTGTATCTCTGAGGCTAGAATGTATAAGAGGGAACCTGTTGGACTGGTCAAACCCGTCTCTTTGTCTATTTCTTCATGCAGTGCATAGCTAAACTATGGAACTCATTTCCCCCAGGAGGCAGCAATGGCCACCGACCTAGACGGCATTAAAAGAGGATTAGACAAATTCATGGAAGAGAAGGCTATCAGTGGCTACCACCCATGATGGCTATGCTCTGCCTCCACGGTTGGAGACAGCAATGCTTCTGAATACCAGTTGCTGGAAACCACAGGAAAGGAGACTGCTCTTGCGCTCCGGTCCTAATTGTAGGTTTCCCACAGTCATCTAATTGGTCACTGTGGAAACAGGATGCTAGACTAGATGGGCCGTTGGCCTGATCCAGCAGGCTCTTCTTATGTCAAGCTAAGTACCCAACTTCTGCATCTTAATTGAGTTCCGTTGTCAGAGAAATAAAGGGTTGGGCCTTCCCCACCCGGCTGCCCTGTAGAAGAACAATAGCTAGATAAGTTGTTGTGTGTGAGAGTAGAAAGCTGGATGCTGGAGACACAGAGACATGTCCTGCTCTGTGGTAGGCCTAAGCTGAGCTTTGGGGCTTCTCTGGAAATCAAATGGAGAAGCAAGATCTGTTGGGGTTTCAATGCTGTCAGCTTCTCCATCCAATGCATAGGTTATGTACCTTGGGTTACATACGCTTCAGGTTACATACGCTTCAGGTTACAGGCTCCATTAACCCAGAAATATTACCTCAGGTTAAGAACTTTGCTTCAGGATGAGACAGAAATCGTGCTCCGGCGGCGCGGTGGCAGCAGGAGGCCCCATTAGCTAAAGCGGTGCTTCAGGTTAAGAAAAGTTTCAGGTTAAGTACGGACATCCGGAACGAATTAAGTACTTAACCTGAGGTACCACTGTATGTGGAAATAAAACCATGCGTCCTAAAGAAACCACAGTCTCCCCTGACCTTCGTTCCAAGGAAACCAAACCCTGGGGGAAGTGCTTGGAACTCCTGTAGCCTCTTACAACTCGGTGGCTGGGATGGCACTTAACAATACTCTTTCTGCACAGGCAGGCTTGTGCCTGGGTCTCAGCGCATGTAGAGTGACTGGCGCATGCTAGGTGAATTGCAGGGGGTGGGGGAACAGAGGAAGCCTATAGAGCCAAGCCTGCACCCCATACCTTCTGCTTGCTACATGAAACAACTTTGCACTCCTCTGACTCAATGGAGCGACAGCAGTGAGCGACAGGAAGGACCCCTGAGCCAGTAATTGCTGCTGTATTTACAATTCACAAGCCCATGAAAACTGTATTAGATATTAGGAAAAGGTGCTCTCAAGGGGTGGGGGGAGGCTGTCAAAGGTAGAGCACTTTCAAGTCTCATCTTATTAGCAACTGGAACTGTAGTTAATATTCACTGTAAACACACCAGTCAGATGCGATAATAGAGACTCGCTAGCTAGGAACACATATGCAGCTGCCTCCGTAGCTCAGCCTGAAAACAACACTTAAAAATTGCAATCCTCAGAGGCAGAAATTCTCAAAGTATATATTTGGAAGCGGTCCCGCCGAAATCTGAGGATCAACAACTTCCTGTGTGGTTTACACCGTTCTGCCTCCTAGCCAACACAAAAATACTTCTGCAGTCCTCTGGTCTCAGCGTTTTTTAATTCTCTCCTGCACTTCTAACTACAGGCAGATTTCTAAAATAGAGCCAGTGTGGTGTAGTGGTTAAGAGTGCCAGACTAGGATCTCGGAGACCAGGGTTCAAATCCCCATTCGGCTATGAAGGTCACTGGGTGACCTTGGGGGGCAGTCACCACTTCTCAGCCTAAACTACCTCACATGATCATGGTGAGGATTAATTGAGGTGTGGGCTTGATGAAGCATGTAAGCCCCCTTGGCCTCCTTGGAGAAAAAGGTGGGATATAAATGCAACAAACAAACAAACAAACAAACAAACAAACAAACAAACAAACAAACAAACTCATATGGATCATCGGAGCCATGGGGAACCAGCACGTAACTGTGCAGCTTGGCTCCCTGCCTGAGGCAACCCAATTCTGTGTGGAGACAGGTGACTTCCAAAACAATGAAAATAGCAGAGTTTTTTTTATGGGGCCCCCTCTGACTTTGGAAGTCCCACACTCACCTTCCTCTCCCTCCCTTTCAGCAACCTCAGCTCCTCCGATTCCCCACAAAGCCCCTCCTCTGTAAAAGCCCCTTACCCATTTGAGCTGGTGGTGGGAGCAGCAGTAGCAGCCCTCAGGTCACTCTGCAGTTAAGAGGCAAGGAGGAAGGTCTCTCATTCTCCCCCTCCCCCAGTGTTCTTGGGAAAGCTGTCCAGGGTGCTGGAGGGGGAGTATTATTGGCCTGACTAGCTGGATATAAACTTTCCACCACTTCTAAGGTATAACTGCATGTTCTCTTTTTGTATTGTTTAACTCTCTAATGTTTCAGAAACTACTGGCTGCCAATTAGCTACTGGGCTGGATTCAAAGTGCTGGCATAGACTGGGACCTTGATGCCTCAACGATTGCCTCACTCCTTATATATCCAATGGATAACTGCTTTCTGCACGATCCTACTGCAGATACCATCTCTCTAGGACAGTGGTTCTCAAAGGGTGCCGTATGTCACATTGGTGGGGCAGGAAGAATCAAGGACAATCAAGGAAACATTTAAACATTTCAGTGTAGCATAGTGTAGCATAAGATAGTACAGTATCAAAAGGGGGGAAAATTATTTGCAGAATATGGATAGGTACCTTTGCAAAATGAGAGCAAGAAGAAGAAGAGGAGTTTGGATTTGATATCCCGCCTTTCACTCCCTTTAAGGAGTCTCAAAGCGGCTAACATTCTCCTTTCCCTTCCTCCCCCACAACAAACACTCTGTGAGGTGAGTGGGGCTGAGAGACTTCAGAGAAGTGTGACTGGCCCAAGGTCACCCAGCAGCTGCATGTGGAGGAGCGGAGACGCGAACCCGGTTCCCCAGATTATGAGTCTACCGCTCTTAACCACTACACCACACTGGCAAGAACATCAAGTGATACTGAGGACAATCCTAGTTGTGATCCAGAACTGCCGTTCAAACAGAGTGCTTGAGAAGACTCGTTTAATTCAACACCAGTAGCAGGCCCAAGCAAACCTCCAAAAAAAAAAGTTGGTCGGCAATATGTGGAGAGCTATCTGAGTCTCAGTTTCACATGAAAATGTCCCTCAGCCTATGTGTTTGATCTGTGGTGAGAAGCTTTCCAATTCCAATATGGCCCCAAACAATATGAAAATACACCTGTTGTTAAAACATGGAAATCTGGCAAATATTTCATCAATAGTTTGAAAGGCCTTTGGAACAGAAGAAATGCCAACGACCATATTATTATTATTATTATTTTAAAAAATGAGTAAAAGTCTCAGATAAGATGTAAATTATACCTTACCAAGTGGCTGACTTGATTGCTCAACAGACAAAACTACATAACAGTAATAGCCGAAAAATTGATTAAGCTTGCCTGCAGCTTGATTGTGGAAAAAATTGTTTGGTGATGATGCTGAATGACAAGTTATGGAAATTCCTTTTGTCTGACGAGACAATTTGCAGAAGAATAGTTGATATGTCAGCTAATATTGAGAACTGTGTTTCCAAAAGTATGAGGAATTCTGAATTTGCCATTCAAGTTTATGAATCTACTGGCATAATTGGAAAAGCACAATTGCTTGCCTCTGTCAGATTCATTCACAATGATGAAATAATTACACAGTTCCTGCTTTGCAACTAGCTAGCAAAACATACCAGAGGACAATATATTTTCCAACCCTTGTCTGAGTATTTGCGGGAAAGAAAAAAAGAGATTTCATGGGATTCTTGTACTGGAATTTGTACGGATGGAGCACTGTGTGTGAAAGGGAATGTGAGAGGCTTGGTGGCACTCGTCAAACAGAAAAATCCAGATGTAATATCAATTCACTGGGGTTTTTTTTTACACAGAGGCATTAATCACCAAGACCTTTCTAGCTGATTTGAAGTTGGTTCTAGATCAGGCTATGCACATTCTGAATTCCATCAAACCAAAACCACTAAAAAAAGGCAGTATGTGGCCAGCTTCTGGTGCTTCTTCTTAATTGTTAGATCCTGATAAATAAGCTAAAAATGAGGAAGTAAAATTGGCTTAGAAAACTGATCCTGCCTGGTGCTTTGCCGATCCCTTTCCCTTTCTGGTATCTATGACAACTAGTGGGCCTGTTTCTTAAGCTGTTGCATCTGCAGCCTAGCATCCGACAAGCACCTTAAAGAACAGAAAGGGCACCCTCTGCCAGAGCATGCAAGTTCCTGTTGCTCCAACAACATCAGACCCAAGGAAACCGAACATAAGTCGGGCTTGGCAAAGCAGTCCCTTTAACAATAACACCAGCAACATCTGGGTCATGTGTAGACAAAACCCCAGTTTCCTAACTATGTTTGGAAACCCTTTTCTAATCTGGTTTACAGCAAACTATGGCTAACCTAAACATTGGTGCATACCGAGAGTAAACCACAGTTAGTTCCCAAAACTGAAAGGGATGGAAAGGGGAGGAGACCACAGACGCATGCAGGCAGCGTTTTTCCAGGCTCAGCATAGTGGGGGAAAGTACACCGGAGAATACAAACTCACTCTGAAATAAATGGCTTAACAAGAGAACAAACTGATTACAGGTTTCTGGCCTGTCTTACCTTAAAGTCTTCTGGGAGCAGCAGTTTCGACGTTCTTAAGAAGCTTAAGATGTATCTGAAAATTTCACCATCTCGATCAATGAAATAATGTTGTTTTAAACTGTCCAACACAATAGGTTCCGTGCCATTAAACAGACGGCTTATTCTGGGAGGGGGAGAAAAAGGAAAAGGGGTGGGCACAAAATGGGAGTAGATGGTCACATGATCTTGCGAGAATCACAGAATCTTAAGACAGTAGTTTAGCAGATCTGTTGCTGAATCTCAGAAGGCTCTTTTATGGTCACCTGGCCCACCCTTTGCCATCAGGGTTCCTTTCAGATATTTTGGATGCTGGACCTGACAAGAATTATAGTCCAAAATGCCTGAGGGGCACTAGGCTGGCCAAGGGTGGCTTAGTCCAACCTCAAACTCCAAGACAGGAGCTGACAGAAATAGAGTTTGTGAAATAGAAAGATACAAAAATACAAGCCAAGCAATTTGTTCTAGCAAGCAGATAAGAACCTTCGCACTAGACTATGCGAGCATCAGGCCATGCCACGTTAGCCAATCATATAGGACAGCACGAGCTGTTCACGCGCTGTTCATGCTCCAAGGATGCTTCTAGCTATGAAATCACCCTGTAACAATAAGAACTTTGCTCATGCTCTCATGTACAAGCAATCATTTTCCCACAAGTTCACAATGCACAGTAAACTGTGTATAGCACACTCCCCCATTTAACCAACACTATCTTTGTTATGGTGAGTTCATTATTAGGGTAACCCCAAAGATTAACCCAAATTTCCCACAAGGGGAAGGCTGCCCATTACCCACAAAATTATGATTATTATTTTTAGTAGTAGTATGCTGTGGCTGGAAGGTAAGTGGCATTTCCGTGTGCTGCTCTGGTTTCGCCAGAAGTGGCTTAGTCATGCTGGCCACATGACCCGGAAGCTGTACGCCGGCTCCCTCGGCCAGTAAAGCAAGATGAGCACCGCAACCCCAGAGTTGTCCACAACTGGACTTAATGGTCAGGGGTCCCTTAGCTTTACCTAGTAGTGGTAGTAAGATCACAGGGCAATTCACGATATAAAAATACAAATTAAAACCATAAAATATTATACTAAAACAAAAATAAAACAATACCACCCTTCCACAGATACATTTAAAACACCACAGAATATTAATCAGCCAAATGCCTGGTTGAAGATAAATGTTTTTGCCTGGCGCCTAAAGATATGTAATGAAGGTGCCAGTAGAGCCTTCCTGGGGAAAGCATTCCACAAATGGGGAGCCACTGCAGAAAAGGCCTGCCACCCTCCAGACCTCTCGTGAGAGAGGCACCCAAAGAAGAGCCTCAGCTGATGATCACAGTGTCTGGGTCAATTCATATGGAGAGAGGCGGTCCTTGAGGTATTGAGGTCCTGAGCTGTTTAAGGCTTTATAGGTAAAAACCAGCACTTTGAATTAGGCCCGGAAACTAACTGGCAGCTGGTGCAGTTGGGTCAGGATCAGCACAATATGTTCAAACTGTCACATCCCAGTGAGCAACCTGGCCGCCGAATTCTGCACCACAGCCATGACCCAGACAGCCCCAAAGTATTCACTTTTGTAAAAGCACACCCTCAAAGAATCTGTCATCCTCTCCTGTCAGTCGCGCTGTTGCAAAAAAGAGCCCTCATCTCAGACTACATTGCCTTCCTTGCAGAAGGAATCCCTCTAGTTCCTTCTCTTTCCCCTCCTAATTTGTTTGCATCTCTCAGGAACCACAAAGGTCCCACCAGAATCGCTAGAGTTTGGGTGTGATTTTTCCACTCGGGTAGTTTGGGGACAGGCAGCTGCCTGCCTCCCTGCATGGCCCAGATCGGAAAAGGCTCTTTTTGATGTTGCGCTGGTCTCCCACTTCATGTATAATTTTCTTTCCACTATCGCTCCTAAATCTGGTGTTTCCAGTTCCTTCTAATTTAGTAATCATCTGCAGATTTCATTAGTGTGCCATCTACTCTCTTCTGGATTAATTACAGAGATAGCAGAAGTTGCTGGAGCTCACACAATTCCCTGCTGAACGCCAACGGAAGGTCCCACCCTTCTCTGGAACCCACCATTTGCGGCTGGTCACTCCCTGTCTTGTTTACGGATTCACCACCCCAGAACCGAGGCAGGTGACACATACATGGAATTGTTTTGCATTTGAATTAATTAGGTACTTGTCCAATATGTATTTGCAAATCCCAGTGCACAGTCTGTTTCTCTCCTGCTCCCCTTCCCTCTCCTCACCACCACAACCACTAAGCCACAGCTATTATGAAACAGTATCAAATAAAGCAACTCAGTTAAGGAATACAGGTAGCGACTATTTTGTTCGTAATTGATGTGTGACCACAAATGCATTGGTACTTTTGGACCTGGAAGAGGGCAGAATGGGGCAGGCTTATGTGCATGGTAGCCAGGGGTGGAACCCGCACAGAAAATGTTTGCCGCCTGTATAGAATGTCAGGCACATTCACATGCTACATGGAACACAGGTACGAGTTCGCCCAGTTCAGAATTGTGGTTCTCCAGAGTCCCAGATGAGATTCTCTCCCAGCCCTACCTGAAGATGTCAGGGACTGAACCTGGGAGGTTCTGCATACAAAGCAGTTGCTCTGCCACTGAGCTACAGCCCTTCCGCAGCTCGGTGGCAATTTCTCCTCTTACACAAGCCGGGGTCAGCAATTGCTGTGGCACACACCCTGGAACATGAGCAGCTCCACACTCGGAATGGCGGCCTTCCATCACAACAGCTTGTGTGGATGGCTTGCCCGTGACTTGCATTCACAACCCCGGGAACGTTGGAGTTCCCAGCATGCGCACGCAGGTTTCAAGACTAGGATTATGTCACTTGATGTGCTGCCTATGGAGAATGTTTCTGGAGCCATCCTTATTTTCTCAAGATCATTTGCTTTCTGTCTGATTCTCAGCTCAGGGGAAGCCCTTAGGCCATAGGTCTATTGCTCTGCTGACTTGGGATGACATTGTCAAAACAAAACAAAACAAAACAAAACAGCATTATTTTTTAGGTAAAGAACTTAACCAACAAATGATCTTCACATTCAGAAATATCCGAGAAGTACTTTGCATCCCCAAAGATTCTTCTCTGTTGTTTTAGCAACCTGAAGATTGAACTCCAGCTTAGATCAGTGGTTCTCAAAGAGTGTGGCAAGAGAGGATGGCAAGTGTGGAGGCAAGATTCAAAGACAATCAAAGAAACATTTAAACATTTCAGTGTGGAACCTCATACCTTGCACTGAATTTATATACATATGTAAAGGTATGTATGTCAGAGGCTCGTTTATAATTATATTTTGAGAGTGATTCATGTCCATTGTTTTCTACTTTCTATGTTATAAATCAAGCAACTACTATGAGTTGTTGCTTTTTGTTTTCCAATGTATTTCTTACCAATAAAAATAAGGTGTGGTGCAAGTAACTCTTTATTCTGAAAGTGTAGCCCAGAGAAAAAAGTTTGAGAACCACTGCCTTAGATCTTGGGAGTCAGGAAAGGGTTAACTATGTGCATGACTGGAACTGGAATTCCACTGACTCTTTCTTCCTTTTGGTTAAAACTGGAATCAATTAGTGGGGGATACACTGATAAGACTTGTGCTCAATCTTGTACTGAATTAATTGAGCAATGCTGTAGCTTTCAAGAACATTTACAGTAGTGATGAAAGTAGATTAGATGTTTGCTGGGACTCCCATAAAGTTACGACTTTAATTATGAATGTGGGCGAGCTGTTTTGCTGGTGTTCTGTGCCTGCCCTTTCCTGCCTCCTTTTGCCATGCATCTCCAGATGTTTCCTTCCTCCTGATTTTTCTTCAAGGCAACCTACCGACTGACTGCACACAGCCTGAAATGGGCCAAGGCCAGTGGTTTTTTTCTGGAAAGAAAGGTGGGGGAAACTCACCATCAAGTTTGCTTGTTTATGGCGGGCCCAGTCGCAGTGCCGCTCCCCACCTGCTGGGCAGTGGCTAAATGTAAAATGGGATTAATAAACTCAAGCAGACAATGATCTGGATTAGAAATGGCCACAACTTTACGACTATAGGTGGATTTTTTGCTCAGGCACTGGGTTTATATCTGTTCTAGCTCCCCAGACAAAATTATTATTATTATTATTTAATTAAAAAGGGTAAAGGAACTCAGTTCTGTCGAACTCCTGCCCCCCAAAAACCATGGCCAAGGACACTCAGGAAGTGACAAGCTTTACCTTCTGCAAGGTCTAATGGCTGAAAGCTTTCCAGTCAAGTCATTATTGGGTGGACAGGAAACTTATTTTTTTATTTAGTTATTTTCTTAAGTTTTCTTACACTTTCCTACTTTACTTCCAGCATGGACCCCAGGGGGTTCTCAGGCAGTCTCCCACCCAGGCACTGACCACATCCAGACCTGCTTAGCTTCAGCAAGGTGATGGCCTCTTGTGCCTTCAGGCCAAACACCCAATAACCAAACAGGGCAAACTGGAAGTTCACACCTGTGGGCACTGTATCATCTTTAGTGGCGATTCCTTCAAGAAAAGGGGTTGGACTAGATGACTCTTTGAGTCCTTTCCAACTCTACGATTCTATGAATTCGGTTTCACTGCAAAAAATCCTCAACCGTGTGCTGAAGAACCGAGTAAAACAAAAGTATTCTGTCTACTTATTTCTAAATTATTATTATTTTTAGTCCTGCCTTTTAGGGCCGAGCTCTCACCAGGCGACTTTCAAAGTTAGTTAGGTTTAAGAACATTGCAATCAAAATAATCTCAAAACACAGAAGAACCAGAAGAAGAAGAAAAATCAAGCCAAAGCTTGGCAGTGGAACAAGAATGTTAGGGTTGATCGAAACACAACCTAAGTAGAAATGAAGCCCACCCCAAAGATGGAAGGGGAACTCTAACGATACAGCACCACCACTGAGAATGCCCTGCCCAGATCCCTGCTAACTCAGTATTAAAGCCATGGATGCCCAGAAATTCCATGCAGGTGAGCTCAATCATCTTCAACCCCCATATCTGTGATCAGTTATTTCCAAAAACCTTTAACGATCCTCAGTTACAAGTTAGTAGACATAGATAGTCCTTTCCTCCATGAATTTGTTTCATCCTCTTAAACCCATCCAAGCTGGTGTCTATTAATGCCTCC